TGCAGGCTTTCCCTGTGCTGTAAACCAGGCACTGGCTCTGCAGCTGAGCCATCCATATGCTCAGTGGCTCTTTGCAGACATCATTCCAAAGCAGCCAGGCTTCATGAGCTCTTCAACCTGATCATAAGAAATATGGTAGAATTTAGAAGTTTGTGATCTTCCCTTTTTCACTGTCCCTCTCAGTGTTGTAAGGAGGATCCAGCTGCTGGTGTCTTGAAGCTGCACATGGGATACATGTTAAATCAGGGAGGGGAGCACAGTATGCATTACACTGCACCTTCAAATACACACACACACGCACCCTTTATGTGTGTGCTGCTCTTCCCCTCCTTTGGAGGGCAACATAAGGGATAGTCATGGGCCTGATGAACTGTCTCCCTCAGAAATACACATCTTCCTCCATAGGTACACCAACCCCAGCCTTTTAGTTTCCCATCTAGTCCTCCTTCATACCCAGCTATCTGCTGGTAGAAGGTTCGTTTAGCGTTACAAAGGTCCTTCAAGGCCGTCCCCAGGCCATCTTTCACAATGTCTCCACATGGCTTTATCGACCAAAGTGTGAGCTCTTTCTAATTCTAGCTGCACCTTTCTTGCCTGCAGCAAAGCTGTTCCCTCTTCACATTCTCAGTTGTCCCACCTTCCTTGTCTGCACATTGTCAGGAACAGTAACTGTCTGTTGCTATAAAGGTAGAAAAAGGTCACCCTTTTTACCAGCTGACAATGCTTATGGCATTACTTTGGCAAGATTTATTCTTCCCAATGCAAGAATCAAATTTTATCATCTGTGTAATTAATTGACAGAATTTGGGGTCTGAAATGGTGAAATATTATTTTGCTTTCCCAATATGAATCACAAGCTTTGCAGCTGTAGAACTAGCAGTGTTGTAAAGCTTCGAGTAATACCCACCCAGTTCAGGAGATTTTGCAGCCATGGAGAACAAGTGAAAACTCATTCTGGTCCCCAGGGATTACCTGTTCTGGCCCTTTCATTGAAGATTCTGCATAAACATACTTAACCACAACTTAGTTAAAAGCTTCATGTCACAGAAGAGGAGTTGCCAGACACAATTCATTTCTCAGGGAATTATTATTACTATCTGTGCCAATCCTGGTGTTTCTGTGACCCATTTGTAGTTTCTCCATGAAAGAGGCTCCACAAACTCATAACTTACTCCAGTGCTTTGCTGTCCTGACCACTAAGTCATTAGACTTTCCTCAGAGTTCAACTTAACTTTTGCATTTAAACTAACTCTTTATCCAATCCATGTTATTACTTCCCTAGATGCTGCACTACTCTGTGTATTGGAAAGTCATTATCATGTCCTTGGTGCTCTCCTATCTCAAGGTTTAACATCCCAGTTTCTCAATATTTCTTCACAGGCCACGTTTTCTAAGCCTCTGATTTTTTGGGCCTTCCATCAAGTCCACAACTTTGTTAAAGTGAAATTTTGTAACCCTGTGTCATCCAGAGAGTTTGAATGAAAGAATTAAGAAGTATAGTATTGTGGGGCAAGCTTCCATTAGGATGATAAAATGGAGCATGGCAAATCTATTTCTTATCTTGTGGAAATCACACCTCAGCCTAATCTCCAGTTAAAATATTCATTAATACAGTCTGAATAATAAGCACATATAGAACAATTGCTATGAATCCAGCTTTCCTTACACTTAGGAGATATGGGTTTGTGCACATGAGAGGTCCTGACAAGATCAGGATAGCAGTGAATGAAGCTTTTTATACACACCTGTCTCTAACAGAAAGGGATTATACACAAATGAATGTACAGTTGGTGTTAGCCTACATATCTCTCACTGTGCCACAGTGACCGGTCTGGTTTCTGGAAGAGTGAAGATAAGGAATAGGAATACAGGCAGAGACTTGCACTGCATTGTGGTGAAATCTGGGTGCTTCCTAAAGGAAAGTGCCTAGTGAGTGTCTTGCAGGCATAACCTAGCCCTTGTGCATATCAGGTCTTGCTGCAAATACATGGAACTCTCTGGGAACATGAATGTCTTGGCAGGTCACTCAAATCGTGGTAATTTGACCCCATGTCATCTAAGCAATCTGTGTACTCTAGATTTGACTGCTGCTGCTTTTCTGCTGACTGGTGTAGGTCATGCTTGTTCCTCCTTCATGGGATCTCCAAAAGGGACATTTCATCAGAAAGTGCAGTTGAGACTGGCTTTAGCCCTTGGCCAGGAGCTGCTTATCTCCGTGGCAGGAGAACTGCTCTTCTCCAGGGTGCTCTGGGACAGGAACAGGGTTGCACAGAGCAATGAAGAACTGGCCAAAGAGTGAAAAGAACACAGCAGTGTTTACTGGATGGAAGGGACAGCTTGTGAAATGAAAAAAATAATTTTGTGTTCTCAAAGGACTCCTGTGAGCTGTGGCTGTTAAGCCACAGCAGTGGTTTAACAGGGCTCAAGGCTGCTCCTGAAGTGGGCACACTGCTTTGGTACCTCTCTTCCTAAAGGTACTAATATTTGGAGATGAGGAGAGGGGTAAAACAGTGTTTGGGTTTGGGGTCTTTTTTAAGGCTTTGGAGGGTGAGACTTAAGAATCTCTGTCTGCTTAATTTTGCAGAAAAGTATTTTGAGTGGACTTTATAACTGAGCAGGGGAAGCTGGGTGCTTTTCTGAGAAAAGTACGATAGGAACCAGCACCTGCAGTCTGAAAGCACAAACCAAACTGTAAATTAGGCACTTTGTTTAGAGGGATTAGCCACTGGCACGCCTGTCCAAGGGCATGGTACATTCTCCATCCCATGAGACCTCATTCTTTGCAACTCCCTGAAAGGAGGTGGTAGCTAACTCATGTCAGCCTCTTCTTCCAGATAACCAGTGGCAGGATAAGAGGAAATGACCTCAAGCTGTGCCAGGGGAGGTTGAGGTTGGACATCAGCAAGAATTTCTTCACAGAAGGGGTTGTCTGGTATTGGAAGGGGCTGCCCGGGGTTGTGGTGGAGTCACCATGCCTGGAAGTGTTCAAGAAACAACTGGATCTGGCCCTTGGTGCCATGGGGAGATATTTGTTCAAATGTTGTATTTCATGATCTTGGAGGTTTTTTCAAATCTTAATGATTCTGTGATTCAAGAACACGTTTTCTGGGACTGATGATTTTGTCAAGTGTGAAATTTTTGAGCTCAGTCCAAGAATAATGATGAAATGTCAGTCATTTATATACAGAATGATCAAATCATTTCTCTTAGCCTTAAATACTTAAGAAATGATGAAGTGTGGATATTAAAGACACTATTCTCCAATATGTGCCCAATAATGATTAAATAGGACTCCATGTTCCAATTTTGTATCTGACATTTCCTAACTGGAAGTTTAATTTCTAGAATATTAGTTATGTTCTTTAGTGCTTCAGGACTGTCAGCCATCTCTGGTTTAGTGTTGTAGAATCAAGTTTAATACTAACTTGCCGGGAGGTATTTGCATGAAATGCAGATTTCTTCATTTTGTACCAAGTGTAACAATTCAAGTTCTGACTCAGTCATTATGATTACACTATGTTCATACAGCATGCTTGCAGCTTTGTCTCTAGTGATATTTAATAAAAACTTTTTAAAAAGTCATTAAAAAATGAAAAAAAGTTTGCATATTTTCTTATGGAACAGTAGTGCATATGCAGGAGGATATTTGATAAATTTTATATAAATATATGCATTTAAATGAACATATTATAATTTTCAGGTACTTGATTTCATACACTGTTTAATGATTTTTTTGGATTAGGCATTATTGCAGGGGTGATCAAAGGGCTCTCTTAGCATTTCGTGTTGATTTTGCTTTATTAGTGGTTTGGAGCTGCAAACAAAATCTTGAGCCAGTTTGCCTAAGACATTAAATCATATGATGGGAAATTAATCTCTTCCCAAAGAAATACTGTCTAAATAAGCCAGATGTCACCTGGTTTGTTATCCCCACTTTACAAGTGGGAAATGGAGCACAGAGGAAAGGCGCCATTCCTGAGGTCACAGGGAAGGCATGTGGCAGCCCCAGGGACTGGACACATTTCCAGAGCCCCTGTGAACAGCTTTAACCAGAAGATCATTCCCTGTTTATAAGGTCAAGATCAGTATTGCTCCAGACTGCAGTAAATTATTTAGGTGCCATATTTAGATTTAGAGAAGTTACTGAGGAGCTCAAGTGATGCAAACCTTTTGTATGGATGAATCTGAGGAAAAAAAATTGTCTTCAGTTTATTCAGTGGTACTGTCACTGTAAGCAATTTACGATTTGACATAAAGAAAAGCCTCAGATTTTTGTCTCTAAGATACTGCAATGGGTTTTGTGCAGGTACAGATTGAGGTATTTAAAGTCTATAGTTTTGCTAATGGTGATGTGCCAAAAACCCCAATACAGATGTCTTGAATATGTCAAGGCAGTCATGAAAAGTCTGCGTTTTCCTTGGCAAAATACTTTTGGGGACTTTTGTGAGCTCTAATGGTTGTTCACAGAACTAATACAAAATACCTGACTTAGAGCTGTGCAACATCTCCTTTCTAAATATGTTCATGCTTAACTGAGCTCAGCTTCCCATTTTTATTTGTGGCTTAAAGTAAATGCCCTGAGCACATTCTGCACTCAGATTAATAACCACTTTATCATTGCAAGCCTTCCTGGGGCTGCCCATTTGGGGTTTTTGTTTTGGTGTGGTTTTGTTTCTTAAATAAAACAGGGTCAGCATGGTTCTCTCTGGCATTTGTAAAGAGGGAAGTACATGAATGATCTGTCCCCTTTATTCAGATCATTCATTTCACTTTTGGAAACTGGCCTTATTTTCAGTAATCAGGCCGTTATGTAGAAGCTGGCTGGTGTAAGTGGTCTGGTTGGGGATTTTTCTTGGTGCTGGTGGTTGTGTTCAGTGTGTGATTCCAGGCGTGTCGAGGGGCACTGGGTTTGGCTTGCAGTCACTGCTCAGGGCTGCCATCTCCGGAGAACTCCGGCAGCGCTCGCGCTGGTTCCATGTCACAGGCTGGGAGCGCAACCCACAGCGCTGGGCTCGGTGTGAGCCTCCTGAGATGAGTGTGTACAGGGTTAGCTGCCTCTCACCACTGCAGGGGGCTCCCAGCTGCTGGATACCTCTCTTTCTCTCCTGCCTTCACTGCTAGCTCTGCTGGGGCTGAGTCAAGCGGTGCTGCCCAACTTCTCAACAGGTAAATCTCGTTCTTTTCTTACCGCGTCATCTGAAATGCCTGTGCAGAGCCCATCTGCAAGACGCTGGGGTTTATTAAGGTGTGGGGATTAGTGAATTGCAGGTTGGTGATTGGGAAAACCTCCTTTCAAGCAGTCTGAGGTACGGAATTTGCTGCCTTGTACATCCCCGTGCCAGATGCCCCAATGCCAGTCCTCGGCAGGAAGCGCAGAGGGCCATTTCCTGGCTTTGCTCAAGTGGACAGTGTTTTGCAGATGTCAGTAGTTGAGCTGTACAAGATATTCTGCAGAGGAAAAAGGCTGGAAGCTTTCTCAAATCAAATTACTGTGATTTTTTAAATTCTTAGTAGACACAGATTTCTGCTTTTCATGTTATTTTCCTGTAAATACTGTTGGGTTTTTCTCCGCCAATTTAACTCTGCAGTGCTTGGGGTGCTTGCTTTTTTGATGAAAGTGTCTGGACAGAGACTTTAAGATCAGAAAGAGTCCTTTGGCTAACATTTGAGTCTTTGGACAAATTCCTTGAGGGAGAATTCTACCAGTCTCATGATGTGCAGTGATAGGGAGTCTGTAATCCACACAGGAGTCTCACTGATCTGGCTTGATCATTTTGGGACAAGTGCTGGAAACATCTTGAGTGTGAATGACAGGTGTTTCAGCCCCGGGATCCTGGGTCTGGTACAAGGTTTCCTTGGATAGAGACAGTGACCTGAGCCATGTCCCCTGCCTGCTGGGGTTTGGGAGTGGGTGGGAAGTGCTGTGTGGCTCTGGGGAACCCAGCTCCCACTCAAATACTCTGTGCCGGGCTCCCGGGGCAGGGAACTCCACCTGACAGCTTTGGCCAAACTGGTCCCACGAGCCTTCAGCTTCCTGGGGAAAGGGGGTGAGGGTGTGTTCTGCTGCTGAGCAGGATGTGGCTACTCCTGAGCTGTATTTCTTCAGATGCCACCACCTCTCCTTTGTGCTCCTGAGCACGACATGGGGAGGCTGCTGGTGCATTCCTCTAATGAGGCCTTGCTCTGTTCTCTGCTGCTGGGAGTTCTTAGTGTCACTCTGCAAAGAAGGAATTGCTTAATCCTCAATCCCTCCACCCCACGTTGAGGGAAGTATTAATATTTCAGTGCTATTTCATAATCTTATAGCGAGAAAATGTGAAGTGTAGAAAAATTACATGACCTGCCAAGTTCAGAGTCAGGAAGAGATTCCATATCTCTCTTCCTTTCTGCTCTTGGTGTCCCCACAGTGCTTTTTCATCCCTGGGATGGTTAACTGCCTTACTTCTTGGTTTGCCTGCTCTGACCATAGGAAACCTGAGGCTTTGATAGGGCTTAGAAATTGATGATGCTAAGGTAGGATTGAGGTTGAACCCTTCACTCTGGAATTCTGTGGTAACCTTCGGGGAAAGTCCTGTGCATGTGGACACAAACAGGGCCTCAGCACAGCCAGGACTGTACGTGTGACTTGACTCATTGCACAGGCAAGTGCAAAGCCTCACTTTTCTGAGGAAAAACTGGGAATACCTTAGGTTAACTACAGCAGAACCATGGTGGTATTTCTATGACTAGTTGGGGTATGGATTAAGGTGAACATGGTGCCTCTCAGAGCAATAACTGGTTTAGGTATCTGGACCAAGAGAAGCTGGCAGACAGTGCATCAAGCAAGGCTCATTCAAGACAGCTTTTGCAGTGCCTTGATGTTATGCTGATGCAGAGCACTGAGGAGTTGAAAAAGATGAAACAGTGCCTGTTCATGTTCACATCATTGCTTGAAATTCAGTAATCAGCAGCCCTTTTCCCATGTAGCTGTGCATGTCTCTAATGTTTAAAAAAAAAAAAAGCTCCTAGATCTGGTTTTCTGGTAGATGGGTCATTAGTCCATAAGCTCCTGTCCCAGCCTGGCCACCTTAAAAAAAAAAAAAAATGCTCCTAGACCTGATTTTTCTGGTAGATAGGTCATTAGTCCATGAGCTCCTGTCCCAGCCTGGCCACCTTTGCTGGCTGTGTCAGAGCAGGCCAAGGCAGGATGGCCTTTGGCCTTGCTCAGGCTCTTTGCCCTCAGCCCCCTCTCCAGTGTAACTCAGCAGTTTGTGGATGGAGTACTCCTAGATCTGGTTTTCTGGTAGATGGGTCATTAGTCCATAAGCTCCTGTCCCAGCCTGGCCACCTTTGCTGGCTGTGTCAGAGCAGGCCAAGGCAGGATGGCCTTTGGCCTTGCTCAGGCTCTTTGCCCTCAGCCCCCTCTGTAGTGTAACTCAGCAGTCAGGGAGCTACATACCAGTTTGAGGATGGAGAACTGACACACACAAGGGCACTTTGATTAGGGTGGCAGTCTGCAACAGAGTGTGAAATGTAGCTCTGTTGAGCTGCAGAAGCTCTCATTCAGACCTTGAGCAAGTCTCTAGAGCTAATGTGAAGTGCAGAAGCTCTTACAGTTCCTGTATTTTTTGTCCTCTGTAAATTTAAATAGTTTCTGTCTTCTGACCTGGATATTTTATCAGTCAAGACATGCTGGAGGTGGTGGCATAGCTTGCTGGTTGAATCATTTTGGAAGCTGATGCTATTAATGTTGCACAAGAACTGAATCTTCCCCACTGAAGTGTTGCTCAGCTCATGCTTCTCAGATTCATGTGAAGTTAAGTTAGTCAGGCTGTCCTCACTGCAAGTAGTTTTGAGAGTAAGCATCTTTATCATACTCAGAGTGCTGAGATCAGATTGGAAAGGGTGCAAATGACAACCAAAATGATCAGGAGATATGTTCATATCCAAGAAACAAACATGCTGGTTTATTCAGCCAGGCAAGATGAGGGAGATGTGTAATCTAGTAGAATTTAAAAAATGAAGGACAGAGAAATGTTGCTGCTGAAGGAGTTGGTGATACAAGAACAGGTGGCAATAAAGGTTGTTCAGCTCATGCTTCTCAGATTCATGTGAAGTTAAGTTAGTCAGGCTGTCCTCACTGCAAGTAGTTTTGAGAATAAGCATCTTTATCATACTCAGAGTGCTGAGATCAGATTGGAAAGGGTGCAAATGACAACCAAAATGATCAGGAGATATGTTCATATCCAAGAAACAAACATGCTGGTTTGTTCTGCCAGGGAAGATGAGGGAGATGTGTAATCTAGTGGAGTTTAAAAATGAAGGAGAGAGAAATGTTGCTGCTGAAGGACTTGGTGATACAAGAACAGGTGGCAATAAATTGCTCATTAAAAAAAGAAACAAACTAACGGGCAAGGAACTAGGAGACTTTTAAGCATGAGATCAAAGAAGCTTCAGACTTAGTCACTCAAAGTAGTCAGGGAAATCACCTAGAGAGGTTAGTTATGATTTTGAGAAATGATTTATGAGACGGTGGCAGTTACCTTCTCTTGCCACAAACTTGATTTAGTAGCTCATAAGTTCCTCTTTTTATAGAAAAGTCAGGCAGAAAAGGCACATTTGCCAGAGTGTTACTGCCACTGTATTTTCCCAAGGGAGCTGTTGCAGTGCTTGGCTATCCTGCTTTTCTGGTGGAACTGTCCATGGGGAACTGCAATGAGCTGTGTTATATCTTGATCTACTGCGAGATCTGAGAAGATGTGAGCGTTTGATTTCTCGGAAGGTGAAAGTAATTTCTCGTAATACGAGCGCAGATTGTTATTGCTGCAGTTATTGGAATGAGAGTTTCCTCCCTGCCTGGCTCTTCTTTAGGTGTCTTGACTAGCAAAGTCTTTTATACTCCTCTGCTTGATGCAGGGCTTGGGCCAGATTTTTCCCTCCATGTTTTACCAGAAAGAATAAAGAGTGACCATGCTGATGCCAGTGAAGCTTCCCTGGGTTTTCTGTCACACATGACAGCAGCACAATGGTGCTGTGCTGCTATGTGGGAGTTGTGCTTGGGAGATATTTTTCATGTTATTACAGAGACAGCGATGGAGTTAAGGCTATAATGCAGGGTCTTTGGCCTTGCTCAGGCTCTTTGCCCTCAGCCCCCTCTGTAGTGTAACTCAGCAGTCAGGGAGCTACATACCAGTTTGAGGATGGAGAACTGACACACACAAGGGCACTTTGATTAGGGTGGCAGTCTGCAACAGAGTGTGAAATGTAGCTCTGTTGAGCTGCAGAAGCTCTCATTCAGACCTTGAGCAAGTCTCTAGAGCTGATGTGAAGTGCAGAAGCTCTTACAGTTCCTGTATTTTTTGTCCTCTGTAAATTTAAATAGTTTCTGTCTTCTGACCTGGATATTTTATCAGTCAAGACATGCTGGAGGTGGTGGCATAGCTTGCTGGTTGAATCATTTTGGAAGCTGATGCTATTAATGTTGCACAAGAACTGAATCTTCCCCACTGAAGTGTTGTTCAGCTCATGCTTCTCAGATTCATGTGAAGTTAAGTTAGTCAGGCTGTCCTCACTGCAAGTAGTTTTGAGAATAAGCATCTTTATCATACTCAGAGTGCTGAGATCAGATTGGAAAGGGTGCAAATGACAACCAAAATGATCAGGAGATATGTTCATATCCAAGAAACAAACATGCTGGTTTGTTCTGCCAGGGAAGATGAGGGAGATGTGTAATCTAGTGGAGTTTAAAAATGAAGGAGAGAGAAATGTTGCTGCTGAAGGACTTGGTGATACAAGAACAGGTGGCAATAAAGTGCTCATTAAAAAAAGAAACGAACTAACGGGCAAGGAACTAGGAGACTTTTAAGCATGAGATCAAAGAAGCTTCAGACTTAGTCACTCAAAGTAGTCAGGGAAATCACCTAGAGAGGTTAGTTATGATTTTGAGAAATGATTTATGAGACGGTGGCAGTTACCTTCTCTTGCCACAAACTTGATTTAGTAGCTCATAAGTTCCTCTTTTTATAGAAAAGTCAGGCAGAAAAGGCACATTTGCCAGAGTGTTACTGCCACTGTACTTTCCCAAGGGAGCTGTTGCAGTGCTTGGCTATCCTGCTTTTCTGGTGGAACTGTCCATGGGGAACTGCAATGAGCTGTGTTATATCTTGATCTACTGCGAGATCTGAGAAGATGTGAGCGTTTGATTTCTCGGAAGGTGAAAGTAATTTCTCGTAATACGAGCGCAGATTGTTATTGCTGCAGTTATTGGAATGAGAGTTTCCTCCCTGCCTGGCTCTTCTTTAGGTGTCTTGACTAGCAAAGTCTTTTATACTCCTCTGCTTGATGCAGGGCTTGGGCCGGATTTTTCCCTCCATCTTTTACCAGAAAGAATAAAGAGTGGCCATGTTAATGGCAGTGAAGCTTCCCTGGGTTTGCTGTCACACATGACAGCAGCACAATGGTGCTGTGCTGCTATGTGGGAGTTGTGCTTGGGAGATATTTTTCATGTTATTACAGAGACAGCGATGGAGTTAAGGCTATAATGCAGGGTCTCTTATAATCACACTCCTATTATGCTTTGTAAAAGGCTTTGCAAGCTTTTATTTTGTAACTGAGCACTGCAGTCTGTCACACATGACAGCAGCACAATGGTGCTGTGCTGCTATGTGGGAGTTGTGCTTGGGAGATATTTTTCGTGTTATTACAGAGACAGCGATGGAGTTAAGGCTAAAATGCAGGGTCTCTTATAATCACACTCCTATTATGCTTTGTAAAAGGCTTTGCAAGCTTTTATTTTGTAACTGAGCACTGCAGCCAGAGCAGTGTTTCTGGTGGTGAATCGTGTGCATGGTTTGGGAGGTTCTGTGCAATGTCTCAAGCATCCCTGTGTCATACTGTGTCTGTCCCAAGGACATAGCCCAAAATGTAACCTCAGTGAGGAAACAAGCAGGGAGGGGTTCTGCCCTTTAATCTACCTGCCCAAGTCAGCAGCCTCATCCCCAAGGCTTCCTCTGTAGTCTGTGGAAAGGGAAAAGTCCCTCAAGAGCGCTATTCAGTACTCTGTGTTAGGCTACAACTGCATTGCCCCCAGGAGGAGCTTTCCTTTCCTGAGAATTTGTCACGTGAGGAAAAACTGGCTTTGTGCAACTTAGGACTTAAATCAGGTGTCAGCTACTGAGGATTCCCTGCCCTCTGCCGGGTGCTTGGGAATGCATTTGGGACATGAGGGTATCTTTTAGGTGACGAGGTCTCAATATTGTGAAAATCATGCATTCAAACAAGCAGGGAGGGGTTCTGCCCAAGTCAGCAGCCTCATCCCCAAGGCTTCCTCTGTAGTCTGTGGAAAGGGAAAAGTCCCTCAAGAGCGCTATTCAGTACTCTGTGTTAGGCTACAACTGCATTGCCCCCAGGAGGAGCTTTCCTTTCCTGAGAAAACTGGCTTTGTACAACTTAGGACTTAAATCAGGTGTCAAGTACTATGAGGATTTCCTGCCCTCTGCCAGGTGCTTGGGAATGCATTTGGGACATCTTTTAGGTGACATCTGCGACACAGAGGTCTCAATACTGTGAAAATCATGCATTTACATCCCTGTGCCATTTGCAAAGTTTATGTATATGGCTGACCTAAAGGTGATCTGAGGCCCACAAACATTTGGATAGGTTTTTCAGATCTTGTGGACACAGTGTAGAACTGGGCTTGAGCCCTGCTGGCTCCAACCCAGCAGGGAATGCAGCGACCCTGGAAGGTATACTTGGCTTTTGGTATGAGGTGCAACTCAGAATTGGTTTGGGGGTTTATATTATACATGGAAATATATATATTACAGTATACATGGGAAGTTGTTGAAAAATTTGAAGTAAAATTGCAGTGGGTGCTTTTGCTTTGTCTGTGTCTTGCTTGAGTCATGTAAAGCTGACAAAAGCCCTTAGGGCTGATGCTTGTATAGTTTTGGTTGTGTGTTTTTCTTTTCACACCAGGCTTTGAGAAGGATGTGCCGTTGGTGGGTGATGGGAAGGTGGAAGAGAGATGTACAAAGCAACTGCTATCTTCTGGCAGTCTCTGGCATTTTTATTCTGCAGTCCTGCCTCTAGAAAGCTGGCCAGATATGTTAAAGGCATTGTAGAGTGTATTAGTTTAGTAAGGTTTAGCAGAAAATCAATGTGCAAGAACTAGCTTTCTTTGCATCTGAGGAAAATTAATTCTGTGCACTGTGGTTGCTCCCACTTGAATAATGACATGCAAGATTTGGATTCCATGCAGGTGTCAGTTACAGTGAGCTCTAGGGAGAGGTTGTGTCAGTAAGAGCAGTGGCTTCAGTGACACTGTCAGCTTCTGCATGTCCAGCCTGTGGTGACCATGGAGGAAATGCAAGCTGAGAAAAATAGAATGAAAATGTTGAGCTCCACCCTCCTCTCGGTACAGCCTCCTCCAGATAAGCAGCTGTAATCTCTTCTCAAAGATCTGGCTTGGACAGCACTTTCACACTTGTCCATTCCTGTGGCCATATCTGTTCCCTTTCCCCTGGCAGCTGAGGGAAGACTCAGGCTCTGGAGGCTTCAAGCCACCCTTGGAGCACACTGGGCTCATCCAGGAGCAGATGTGTGTGACATGAGCTGGGCCTGGCTTTGATGTGCCTTTGGGATGAGGCACAAGGGCCTCTCTCTTCCTAGGGCAGTCCAGAGCCTCAATGACCCCCTCCTGCTTCAGGCAACTCCAGATACTGGCACCAGCCTGTTTGAGCCCCAATTCTGACCAGAAACTGCAGGCTCAAGGAACTGTACCTGGACAGAGGGCAGAATATTTGTTGTCATCCCCATTTAAGGTCCGATCTTCTTTGGAGCTTGAACATCTGATCTGATCAGACTACAAAACTGTGTCTGTAAAAGCACAGCTCTTCTCTGAAAGAGACTGCAAGTGTTTCATGTTTGTCTCTCAGGGATTTGGTGGCAACTGTGTGTGGCTTGCAAGTAGAAACAAACTTTTTTTTTTCCCCTAACTGCCTCTCCTCCAGATGCAGCCTGATCTCAGAGACCTGAGCTGTAGTCTTTCCATCACCCTCTGATCAGAGGGTTTGATAGAAAAGCTGAATGTGCAGCAGCACCTGTGAGCTGGGGCCCAACTGTATGCACAAAGGGGCATCCAGGGAGTTCTCTTCATAGGGCTGCTCATGCATGAGCTGGAACTGAGCCCAGCTGCTGCCCTCCAGCATTATTTTGAACAAAAAAGTCACACTCTTCTTCGTGGTGCAGCTGTGCCCTTACTTAGTGCTGCCTTCATTGCCTCAGGTAGAGGCTGCTGGAGGGACCTGGGGACTCAGCAGTGCTCAAGGCCAATGGGGCAAAGAGCTCTTTATGCTTGCTGTTGTTATCTTTCATTTAGCAGGTGGAAAAGAAGAAGCAAAACAGGTAAAGTGAAGAGTTGCAAAAAAAAAATTCTCAGGCGATGGTTTAGCAGAGAAGGTAAAATGCATGATTCATCTAGATACTCCTGCTTTCCTAAGCAATAAATGATGCTGCTTTCCTACCTGCACTATTCTCAGCTGTGTATTTTGTGATAAGACCTACTGACAAAAGAGGATTCAGCCAGCACTGCTGGCCTCTGTCCACCTGAGCTCAGCCTCCTCATCCCCTCCCATCTTCTTGAGCCCTCCCTTGTGTGCAAGAAGGAAAGGCAAGGTCTGGAGGTGCTGTAAGTGGACTGAGCTCAGATCCTTGGCCAGGTTCTGACTCCACACACAACCAAAACTTCACTGACCCCCACCTCTCCTAATGTGCCTGGGATTTAGGTTTCTGCTGAGGTTCTGGTTAAGGTCTCCCTTCCTCTTCCTTCTTTGGGATGTGAGGGTGTCCAGGCTCGCAGTCACACCTCCACCTTCTCTGGCAGACATGCCAGAGGAGGAACCTCAAGCAGAAGCAGGGAAGGTCACTGGTTTCCTATGTACTCTCAACAGCTTGTGATTTTGGTTATTTCTTTGAGCAAACATTATGGATCAGAGCTCATTCCAACCACAGCAGGCACAAAGCAGAGCCTGGGGCCAGGGAGGAGGCTGACAAGCCTGCTGATTCAAACTTCCAGCAAACAAGCCAGTGCTCAAGATCTAGCAAACCCCAGGTCTAAGGCTTGTGTTGTCCTGTAGAAAACAGCGAGCCTCGTGTAGCACCAAGGGCTGAGTGCACTGCATGGGGTCAGGCCATCTCTCCAGACAGTGCCTGTTCAATCAGTGGCTAAGAACAAACTCTTGAGGGGCAGCTCCAGAGTCAGACTTGGAGTTTGTACCCTGGGACCTGCGCTCTCAAGCATCCTCTTGTAAGGCTCTGTTAGCTGTAGAGTTTGATCTCAGGATTAGCTTTGGTATTTGACAGTGTAGGAGCTCCAAAGGAAGCTTTGCCCTTGACTGGTACATTTCTAACTCACCACCACTTTATCTCCCACCTCCTTCCTTTTTGGAGGAAGCCTCCAAAGAGTGGAGTTTAGAGAGCTGCAGACATTGTCTTTTTTGATTCAGATTAAACAGGAAAATGCAGGTACCAGCACAGTCTGTGCCTGGAGCAATTCAGTTCCTTTGGACAAAAGCTTCAGAAAGCTGAAGAATAGCCCAGGTAAAATAAAGGTTCTAGAATATTTACAGAGCACAGTTATGCTCCCAAATGTCTGCTGGGTCCTGAACTCTTGCAGCTGATGAAAACAATAGCAAGCTGCCATGCCTGATTCTTTCTCATTTCAGCCTTGCAGGTAGAGGAGAAGCCATAACAAGATAAAGCAAAGAAGAGGAGCAAGTTTTCTTTCCCAGTCCAGGAAAAATAACCTGTTGGATTATAACCTGCTAACAGTGGAGAGTGCCAACATGAGCAGCGAGGGGGCAGAGAATCCCATCTCATCCACACTGACCCAGGGAGTGAAGAGAAAGAGGGGGAGACCAAAGAAGCAGCCACAGGTGAGAAAACATCATCCCAAGAGGATGCCTGAGGATGCCATGGCAGTAGCCTGATGGGATCTGCAGGCAGCCCTGGGAAGCTGCTTGCTAACAAGGACAAGGGGAGGAGAGGTGTTCAGGGTAAATGCTGGGGCTACCCAGGACAGCAGCAGGATCTGCACCCTGGGAAATCTCAGCTCCTGGCCTCAGAGGCACCTCTGATGTGACAGGCAGTGACAGTTCAGCCAGGACATGTGTGAGAGGGGCTGGCCAGGTCTCTGTTCTGGCCTGGAGACTTTCATGTGTCATCACCCTCTGTTTCTGCACCAGTAATTGGATAGAACAGGCAAGGCCCCTTGGAACTTACTCATTTCCCCAGCCCAAAAGACAGACAAAGAGGTAGGAGTATTGCTGATCATCTTCTAATGCACTTCACAGCTGGAAAAGCAGAGACAACCAGCTGTTTAGGGGTATGGATGCTCTTAGGGGGTAAGATGGTCCAAGACCAACCAGAACGAGAGAACATAAATTGTTGTAGGGATCATCCTGCTTAAATGGTTTTCTCCTTTTATCCCAGGAGGATGGTGGAAATACAGCTGTTATCCCACAGGATGCTGTGGAACCACAGCCAGTGAAGAAACCACGAGGAAGGCCAAAAGGAAGCAAGAAAACGACTGTTGTAAGTGGGGGAACAGTGAGAGGAAATGGTTATACTCATTTACAGAGGAGAGAAGCGCTGCCAGAGAGACAAGCAGGGATGTTTCTCTTAGCTTAAAGATAGTGAAAGTTGCCCCTAATTCAGCTCAGCTTTAATTACCACCGTTGGACAAATCAGTTATTGTGGTTTTAGTCCTTACTCACCTCCCAGCCTTCCTGTGTTGCTACTGCCTGTTCAGCAGTTTCCTCCCAGTGTTTCTCCTCCACCACTGCCAAATAATCACAACCAGTGCAGTCAGGCAGGTGTTTCCTCCTCAACTGTCTTCTATCCCCAGTTTTTGCTTTTTCTGCTGCTTGTGAGACAAGACCTTTATACAAAGGTCACCTTGGCCATGTTCAGTGGTTTAGTCACAATGCCCAGCAAATCTGAGACCTGACAATATTTCCCCTGCTTTGTTTTCAATAAAGGCAGAACCTTCTGCTGGGAAGAGGCAAAGAGGGAGGCCCCGCAAGTGGGTGAGTACGGTGTTCAATCCTTTCCCTCTTCTCCAGTCACAGATCCTGGGGAACTTGCAGGTGTGTTTGCCCTTCTCAGACTCTGTCTGCCACAACATTCTTTCAGCCTTGGTAGCCTGGAAATAATTAGGGAAGCTCTCACTGCCTTCCTGATGGCCTCCAAGGTTCAGCTACTGAAGAATTCTGAGAGCCCAGAGGAGATGCTGTACTTAATTCAAGACATACCAGACTTCCACAGTATAGCACTTTCTCAGCCTTGGAATGTCAGACTAGAGATTCCATCCTTTCTTACAGAGAGGGTTATCTTCCCAGGAGACTTGACAGACTGAAACGATTGCTTAGCATGTCAGTTTTTCTCAAAAGAAGAAACTTAAAATTAAGCTAAAAGAGAAATTTGATGAATTGAGAAACTTTGAGTTCTGCCAGCAGGAGACTTTTAATGCAGCAAACAATGGATTTGTAAGAATCAGTAGCTAAGAAGAAAATATTTCAGGTGTAAAAACAAGACAAAAGTTTTTAATCAATAAGGATATTCAGTCCTGTGAACTACTAATGGTATGTTACCTGTCATTAGGAGTGGTTAATAACCCCCACAATAGCCACAAACCATTATTTAGTGTACATCACAAAAATTGCTAGACCCAAACCCAAGCTTTGCACTTGCTGCAGGAATCCATAGGTTTGTTGTACAGCTGTGGTGGCACAGGAGTGCTCAGGAGGGAAAGGAACACTTCTGGTTCAGCAGAACCAGAGAGACAGAGCAGCCTGTGAGGGCCATGCAGAAGGCTTGGGGGGAAATGTTCACCAGCAAGGAAGTGCCAGGATACAGAAGAGAACAGAAGTCTTTTCTAATGTGACAGTGACCTTGCACGCAGATATTGCCTGGATAGTGGGAAGCTGTTTGCAAACCCCGTGCAGAATGTCCCAGACAAGGGAACTGTTGCATACATTTGTTCCTTCTCTGCAGTTCAGGTGAGAAGGTAACAGTGGTTCAGCACACTCTCTTGCTCAAAGCCCCTTGCTTTCCCTAAGCCCATTTGTCTTATGTCATTTAAATACACTGACTGGGGAAGCCTGTGTTCCCAGTGCTTAAAGCAACCAGCTGTGCTCACTGGGATCCTCAAGCTCTGTAGAAAATTATCAGAGGCAGAAGTGGCCATGTCTTACAGAATAAAACCTTACCCAGTGAGTTCTGCTGGTGTCATTTCTGGACTGACAAATCTCAAAGACAAGCAGGAGTTTTTAATGTTTCAAAATGTGTTATATTAACTTTGATTAGTGGAGGATTCTGATGTTTCAGTTCAGAATTAAACAGCTGAAGAATTTTTGGGAGGCAAAACCAAAGCCGAAGAAAAAGAACAATCATTTTTGTATTAACTGTCAATAGACAAAATGTTTAGCTGGTCAAGACAAGGACAGAACCTGAAATATAGAAAAGATTCTTGATTTAAAAAGATTTCCACAGCCATATAATGGGCAGATCTTTTTCAGAGTGTTGGGCTGTGTCTCACAAGGCTGATATTGGGATGGTTTATTATGGATTCTGGCAAGTATTCAGAGACTTGTGGATGTGTGTGGACACTGGATGCCCTGGTGTGTACTCTTGCCTGTGGTGGGATGTAGGCATTAGTGGCAAATGGATGTGCTCTCAGGGCTGCACAGTCTTGTTTAAATAATAACCCACCTACTCTGCATATTTGCAGTTTTGTCTTTTGATACCTAATTTTGCATGGGAGGGCTTGTTTATTTTTGGTATTTTTTTCTTTGTAGCCTCAAGCAGTGGTCCAAGAAGGAGAGTCTCAGGGAGGAGATCCTCTGGAAAGCAGTGACTTGGATTTGAACTCAGCACCAGCCACACAAGGTTTGAAATTAGATAATCATCATTACATGAGACTGAACAGCAGAGCCACACTCTGGCAAACCATGCACTTACCCACAGAGCTCTAGCACTGGCTGTAGTCTTCCTGGTAAATTCTATAAACAGGGGAGCATTTGGAAGGCTTCCAGGCACATTTCTTCCATCTAATTCAGTTGTGACTACTTCAGCAGAAGTGGAGGTAGAAATAAAGAAAGGGAAGAAAATCTGTCTGTCTTTCCAAGAAGTCACACATCTGAGGTTCTGTCACTGCTACAGGTACAGCTCAGTGAAATTGTCTGGCAGGTGTGTAAAAAGTGAAAATAGTCTATTGTTAATGTCTTGCTTTAGTTGAAAAACTTTATGAATAGAAGATCTCTTGGTATTTGGGACATTTTAGTACTCTGGATTAATTCAGAATGCTTCCTGGATGGTCTTCCTCTCACCTTCCTGGCTTGTACTGTAAGGCAGAGCTCTCTGGCAGTGGCTGGCACAGAATGATGGCACTGGCCAGTTTCAGTGGAAGTGGAGTGGAAGGCTCCAGTTTCTAAGGTTCTCTGAGATGAGATGCCAGATAACTGTTACTGCTGTTGTAGGAATGTACAGATGCACTACCCAGAGCCCCAACCTCTGAACCCTGCAAAAATACAAAATCTGAGTCTATACTATTCAGGACTGTTTCTGAGGTAGATTCCAGGAAAACTTGTGTGCATCTCTGTCCTGTCCTCAGTGGGCCTTGTAGGATGCTCTTCATGAAATGTTTTCCCTGGGGGGAGAAGGGGCCAGGAGCCCAGGGCAAGCAGATATTGCCTGGTTTGCCTTGTGGCAGCGCAGCTACTCCCTCCTGACGCTGGGCAGCCCAGCCCAGCCCGGGTTCTTAGAAAGTCCCTGGAAATGCCACATGAATAAATGCCAGAGGAGTTAACCTCAGTTGCTCAATTCAGTTTCCTCTGGGGCTCCTGCTCCCGTATCATTTCCTGCCACGGAGCTCTGCGCTGACATCAGCGGAGCCGCAGGCTCTCGGGGGATGAGCTCACCTCCGCCCGGCCCGGCCGCCCTTGGGCCGGTTCAGCATCGCCCCAAACCACAGCCAGTGCGGCTCCTTTCTTCTTCCTTTCAGCCCGAGCGGGGCCCGGGCAGAGGCAGGAGGAGCCCGTTTCCCTGCTGTCGCAGGGAGGTGGCAGCAGATGTGACAGGATCAGCGGATGCTGCGGTTGCTGGGACGGGCCGTGCAGAAGGCGATAGCGCAGCCCCAGCCGCTATCGGACAGGGCCTCTGCTCTGGGGAACGCCTGCGCTTCTGTGAGCACAAAAACGGCCCGACATCAGCGGGGATCAGCATGCACATGTGAAACCAGGCAATCCTCTGGAAAACGTCTTAAGTTGTTATTTGCTCAGGAGCTTGAGATGGAGTGGTAATCCTGGCTTAAAACTTTTGCCTGGGAAGGAAAAGGGGAAGCATGCTGTGCTGGCTTATTGGAAACTGTAGGTCCTGGGGCTTGTTTGCAAGCACGGTGCAGCTGTAGCAGCTTGCAGACAGGCAGCTTCTGGATTAACCCATTCTCTGGGTCTGGGTTTTACTGGGGTATTATATGCCTGTAAATTTTTGTGCTACTCAGTGCAGGAGGCTACTGCTCTGAGACTTGTTAGCTGGAGTATGTGATCACATAATGATCTGCTACAGACACAGCCAGAGCTTTGGCCACTGAGGGCTTTGGTGGGCTTTTCCCCCTTCCAGGTGAGGATTTTTGAGGTGCTGCACCAGGGAAGGGATGGGAGGGTACAAGTGCTTGCCCATCCTGCAGGTTGTACACTGCACAACTCTGAGAAGATCTGCCCTGGACTTCGTGTCTGCAGCATTCAGATGAATTGCTGAAATAAACACTGACTCTGTCTCAGTCTGTTATGGAGAAAATCAAGATATGCAGCAAGAGCTGCATTAGAAATATGCAAGGTTTGCAAGCCTCCAGTGGGGCAGAGAGCTGCTTTAAAGCCAGCTGGTTTTTATTGCCATGGCCTTTGCCTGGGGATCTGGCTCTGCTTTTCCCAAGGCACTGGTTATGGGAGACTCCAGGTTATCCAAGAGCAGGCAGAAGTTTGTTCATGGATCAGGCTCAGCTGTGTTTCTACCTGTAGATGCTACCAATCACAACTCCAGCATTAACATTTCTGTTCTTCTGGGTTAAGAAGCATTTGGGGTTTTTTCTGTGAGTACCATTACTGAAGGATTGATGAATCTCATTTCATAGGCTCCTAAGCCACAGTGGCAGATGTGGTTTGGTTTGTCTGAGTAACTTCTTGGCTAATGGACTGTAGGTGTGAGGGAGAAAGAGGTTGCTTTATGGTAGAATTTCCAAGTGCAAAGCCCAGAAGCACCTTAGGATCTTGCTCCTTTTTTTCTATCTTGCCATCCTTGCATTCTTTTTCGTACAAACTTCGTCTACTTTGTTTCCTCTGCTGCCCCAATGGTCAGTTCAGCTCTCCTGAAAGCCAGGGCTGAGGCACGGATCACAGCAAGCCTGTGTAGCCAGAAGCATTCCCCACTCACCATTTCCAGACATTCTGCACATCTACTTCCCTGGTGTTTAATACTGGGTAGGGCACTTCATGTACTTGATGTCTCATGAGGATTCAAGGAAATACATAATTACTGTCAGCAGAGGTGTTTGATGAGTGTTTGCAGAGCAGAAACCAGTCAATTTGACCAGACTGTCACTTGTGGGCCCTCAGTAGCCTCCTGCTGAGCCCTGCTGCCAGGGAAGCCATTTGTGTCAGGAGCTCCATTTAGCCTGGGGCCTGTACAAGAGCAATGGGAATGTTGTGAAGACCTTTGGTTGTTGGGGAGTGGATCCTTGTCACCTCTCAACCTTGTAAGAAGTGTACTCTGTAAGGGATACTGGGCAGCAGGGCTCCTGGACTCAAAGCTCTAACCCTCTGTCTCCTGTGATCTTTCCTTTAGACATCACTGGAAAAGACGGCTCCAGGTCTGCCAAAACCACTGGTCTTAGGAGATGTCTGAGTCACATCCCTGCTGCAGCTCAGTAATGTCCCACCTGTTTGTGTCTTGCTGAAGCCAGAGGAGTGGAAAGCAAACAGGACTTTTAATGTTGTATTTCAGATTCTTCATTTGTGATAATTTTAGCCAAGCTCTCTCCTGTTGCCTGCGGACTTGCTTACCCCTAACATCCAAACAAGGATTTAGGGGAAGAAATGGCAAATTGCCTTGTTGGAGAGAAGCCTTTTACAGTTTGTAGTATATCTTCTGTGAGTATAATGATTTCTCTTTAAAATACTTGGATCACCCGGTGCCTTGCCCTGCCACAGAGAGCAGTATTTCAGCAGAAGTTGACTCAGCAATACAGATACAGGAAAGGAAATCTATTTACACAGCTAATGGCTGAGCTTGTCTGCCATATCACCTCTGGCAGACTGATGGGGCAGTGCCAGGAGTTAAGTTTTGCTGTGTTACCCCATAGAGACTGTATCTGAAAGACAGTCTTTGCGTCCTTTCTTGACTATTTCAGAACAAAAAACCTTCATGGCATTTCCAGCTTGCCCTGCACTGCTGTTCCAGTGGCCAGTAACTTGCATGCTTTAGGGGAAAGTTTGCACCCCGATGTCTTAGGGATTGATTCTGAATTTTTTATCTTAATGTGATCAGCTCAGGGCCGTCTCTATAACTTCTGGCCTGGTGGCTCTCCCCCCAAGTTTGATAGCAGCTCCAAGTGCTTACAAGCTTAGTCACAGCCACTGGATTTCATCTCTTCAAAGGAGTGTCTCTAAAGAAGCAGTTACACAAAAGTTGCTTCCTTGCAGAGCCTCAGGATTCAATTTAAATGAGTTTAAATTCAGTCCCTAACATGCGTGTGTGGGGTCCTCTAGTGTCACAACCATGCAAATAAAAGCTGCTGATAGTTCAGTTTGGGGAGACAGCAGTAGCCAGTTGGTTTGAGATTGTTGCTGGCTGCTCTCAGTTTTACACTGTTTGCAGATTTGTGCTTTTGGTGTCAGAGCTGTTAAATTCTGAGAAATTGAGGGTATTTCCAATATCCAGTTGCAAATAGTGAAATCCCGGTGGTATTTTCCATCTCCTGGATGTTCTGCCTGCCTATTAAAGGGACAAAGTGGATATTTCAATTATCTCTGACAGGATGTAAAATTGGCTAGCTTTACAGTGTTAAATATTTAAACAGAACATAATTGGCTTTAAATTTATGGTGGTGCATAGCAGAAACCCATGAAATGGCTCTATATATTGAACTCATTTATTATCTTTTCATCAGAGTTCTGTTCCCTTGGCAAGTATTTATTTAACACAAGAAAATGTATGCAGAATTAAGAAGGGCTGAATGCAGAGATAATAGGGGGAAAAGTGGTTTTTTTTTTCCTTTTGGGTCATTTTGTCCAGTCCATCTAGTTTAGTACTGATGAGTCCTGATCCCATTATTTCTGCTTAGTAGTGATGAGTCCCAGTCCTAATTCTGTGTGGTATCTAGTTTGCCCTGAGGGTGTGTATGGAGCTTGGTGGTCACAGATTCTGCTTAGTAGTGATGAGTCCCAGTCCTAATTCTGTGTGGTATCTATCTAGTTTGCCCTAAGGGTGTGTATGGAGCTTGGTGGTCACAGCACAAAACTGCATCACAGATAATCTTTGTGCCTCCACTACCAAATAGCAGAGAAATCTAGGACTAAATGGATTAGATCACAGGGACTGACCTAAATCCTGTGCTATAGGATGAGCTGTGCTGCCAGATACAAGGAGTTTGACCCCCAGCTCCTGCTGTGGGGATTACTCTGGGTGGGACATGACACAAGTGACTCTCTACTGTTGATGGTTACATGAGAAGGTGCAGCTGATGCTCCCCTGAATTCTGCTGCTCTTCAGTGCACTCACAAGTTCAGCTGCAGTTCATATCCTCATTCAAAGGTTACTCCAGTAGCAGACCAATATATTTTACCAACTTCTGTGCCTGATTTTCAGTTGATTTGGCAGGTTCAGTACTCTGTTTGCAAGGCTATACTGCCCATTTAATTAACCCCTGCTACCTGAGAGAGCAGTAGCACTTGCAGTGTGAGACTGTAACTTCAGCTTCTAAATGGATTAGGGATTACATCTGTAAGAGACTCAGGCTTTTCCTGTGACATCAGTCAGTCCTTTCTCAGCTGGTGGCATGGAATAGGGGTGCACACTGCCTTGGCTAGATAGTGAATCCATCTGCTTTAGGTCAGCAGTAGTGCTCTGGGAAGTACCTGCAAAGTACTCTTAAAATTAAAAAAAAAAATCTAGTCTTTGCTACCTCTTACCACTCCGCTAAAAAAAAAAAAAAGAAAACAAGTTGTTTCCATAAAAATGCAGGTGCTGGAGGAGAACAAAGAGAATTCCACTCTTTTAGGAGCTCTTCTGTGTGTAGTTGAAACCCCAGTCCATAACTTCAGCTTCCATGTTTACACAGAGAATTAGAATGGAAATCCATGCCTGTGAAAGGTGGGCAGAATTCCAGACAGCTGCAGGGAGCTGGGATTTCACACTGGATCACTTGGATTGTCTTTTTTAAAATGACAAACATTTTTATTTCCCATATAGTTAATTACCTTTTCTGGGTAGACAAACCTACCTCTAAGCAAGTGCATGTCAAGTGTTTTTAAGCTCAGGCAGTTTTGGTCTGACTTGGCCAAAAATAAGAGGTCATTACAGTTGGTTAAACCACACGAGGTGAGGTGAAGTTTGTTGTCTAGCAAAGTTTGGAAGTTTCCCATAAATGGTTTTGGTGAAGGCATAGAGAGTGTTGGCAACTTGCAAATTAGCCTTGAAGTTTGTTAAATAAAGGTCTTGAACAAATGCCCCTCAGGCTCCTGCTTTGCCTCCTCCTTGTGCAGCACCCTCAGCACACACAGACACATCGCTGGATAAGGTGAGTGTCTCTTGACCTGGACTTTGGGGATTATAAACAAAAATCTGGTTGTTCAGGAGCAGCCCCAGATTGATGTGAAAACAAGAAATAATAAGCATGAGGAATCACACATGGAGAAAATCATCCAGCCTCCTAAGCCCAAATGTGGGTGCCTAATTCCATCCTTTTGTGTCTCTTGGAGGCTTGATTGGAACACAAGCCAGTTCTGCTTCACATGCACACCCAGAAGTGTCCACAGTCGAGTCTTTTTCTCCCCCACATTGTTCTGTGGGCTATACAGCTATTTAGCTTTAAATACAATTAATTCTCTGCCTGTGCACCGCCTCTTGAGTTCATCTGACAGCTTTCCTAACTAGTCCCAAGTCTTGGGGCTGTGGGCCAGATGAGGCAGGAGCAATTCTGAAATACATCAGCAATGTCATCATGTTCTGTTCCCCTCGGTGTGGGCAGAGCTGCAGGTGAGCTGATGAACTCCTGGTTTGTACAGGAATTCAGCTGAAGGGTAAGTTGGGATTGCTTTTTATACCCTGGATGCCCAGGACTGGCAGCTGGAAGCTCCTGACTTCTCCAGCAAGCCTTTGTGAGAGATCCGAATTTCTGTGCTATAGAACACTAAACTTTGACCCCCACAGAGCTTCCCCTTCCAGGTTTTTCCCATTGAGTATTGTTTTTGAAAGAGCAGGGGAATTCACTGCACACAAATTACCAGCAGATACTGGGGTAACACTCCAGCAGTTTCTGTGGGAAATTGCAAATGACAGGGGAATAAGACAATCACACTAGACTTTCATGTAAATAGTTTAATTATATTTCAATGCTTTAAAACACAGAAACACTTGAATTAAATTACATCATAATGCTTCTGCTAAATTATACATCCAAGAACTGTGAGAGGAGGCGCTATGGAACTAAAAGAATATGAGCCCAGCAATTACCCATAATATTCTTTTAGTCTTAATTTCTGTACTTTTTTACTCTAAGGGCAGTTGTCACAGGACAAAGCCTACCATCACAGGGAGAATGGTTCAAGAGAATTCCTCTGTAGGTGTGTTTGTTGTTGCCCTGCAGCACACAGAACTGGCACAAGGGCACACACTGGGCTGAGGCATTGAGGAAACAGCTCAGCTCACACTTGCCTTTTGTTGAGTTTAAAACAACCATTTAAATTCCAGTCCTGAGAGTTCTGGAGGAAATGCTGCAATTCAAGACAGCTGGACATCCCTAGTGCCACATGTGTCCCTGTGCTGCTGCAGAGCCTGGAAAGGGGACGGGCAGGGAAGGGAGAAATCAGCTCTGTGGCTGCTCTCAGCACTTGCAGGAGCTGGCAGGTGTGTCTGCGTTGGGAGGTTTTTGTCTCTCAGCTGATCGACGGGAATACCCACAGACAGCCTCCAGATTCTAAGGACCTAATCTGCATTACACTGAGTGTTTGTACCCATGCACCTTCCTTCCAGCAGGATCCCCGGGGGCAAAACAGCAGCAGCCTGGGAATGCCTCCTGCCACATCCCCTGGCAATGAGGACTGGGCTGTTTTTCACACTCCAACCCCTAATATATCCCCAAAAATTCCTAGTTCTAAAAAGACACCTGGATACTGAAACACTAAAGCAATTTAGCCCTGCAAAGCTGCCCTGAGGGAAGCTGGAAGAGGGAAGGCTGGTAAGGAGCTGTGCCCTGCAGGGGTCAGGGCCACAGACCCAGGAAAGAGTCTGCATTTAATGAATGTGGGAAAAACAATCACACGGGGGAAGAACAAAAACTAACTGGCAGGTCCAAACTTCCAACAAAGCACATGATACTTGAATTGCCACTCTGAAACAACTCCTTGCATAAAGCTTTAGATCTGCATTCAAATTCTGGCTTGCCCTGATTCCCTTTTAACTGGTGCTGTGGATGGAATAAAATCTGATTGACAAATGCCTGTAACAAAAGATCAGAAGTTGATCAGGGCAGGGCTGGGCACTGGTGCTGCTCCCTGGCTGCTGTGCTGGTTGGCACCACTCAGGGCCAGTGCCCACGAAAAGGCTTTCAGCCAACAGACCCCCACACTGCACTGCCACGTGCCAAGGTGGCCAGAGACCCCTTGGCACTCTCCCTCCTGCAGCCCTGAAGGATGCACAGGCAGAGCTTCAGGGCTGTAGCTTCAGGGCTACAGGGAAACCCCTGGCTTACCTGTCTAGTCCCACCTACCTGTTCCTAGCAGGTAACTCGAGCAGAGGCTAAGGCAAAGCTCTGTGTTCCCTTCAGCAGGAAGAAGAGAAGGCTCTGACTGCAGGTCCTGGCAGGTAAGGAAGTACAAACCAGCTGTTAGTCATCTCTGGGGGCAAACACTAGGCTGTTGTTGAGCCAATACATGTTTTTCCTTTTTTAAAAGTATTTCAAAGCTTAATGTTTTTTCCTGGATAATGCTCTGCACTGTAGAAACTTCCCTGAGCCAAAGCAGGAAGGGATAAATGGTATTGGAACCTTAGTTCTGCTCAACTCCTCTTTGTGGCCCAAGCACTCTTATTCCTAGCTCAGCCTCAGGGCTCACAGAGGCAGACAGTGATAGTCCCTGGCTCTAGCTGTGTGAAATCCCCTGTCTGTACAGGAGCTCTAATTTGGGATATTCAGCCACTTCCTCAGATTAAGATGTTATCGGCCAAATCTTCAGTTTCACTTTTTCAAGCCAGTGAATTCCCCATGCTACAACGTCACCCTGGTGCACATTTACCAGCAGCCACAGGCCTGGGAGGGGATAATCCCATGGTTGTGTTCTCCTTGCTGTGCCCCAGGCCATCCCTCAGCTGGGGCAGGCAGCTCTCCTGGCTCAAAGAGGCTTTGCCACCAGTCCCCAGCCAGGGCTGGCCAGAGCTGTGGTCACTGCACAGAGGCTCATCCATCACTTTCCCTGGGGCCTGGGCATACAAAGCCAGTGGAGAAGTTTCCTGAAATGAAATTTCTCTCTCCTTCCCTGACCAGAGAGCACAGCTCTGTGCTCTGACAGGTTAATCTACACAAAGCAGGCACTGTTCCTAAGCTCAAAGCTCGGTAGGTGGTGTCAGGCAGTGCCAGCCCAGTAACAACCTCAGGAGCTTTTAATGGTAACACACACACCAGAAAATCACCACTGCCCTCACAAAGGGTTTGTTTCCCAGAGTGCTGGCACCTCCTGTGCCCATGTGTAACACAAACCAACAGGTGCCCAGCTGGGCTCAGCGGATCAGCCATGCTTGAGGGAAGTCACTGCTTTGCTGGCTCCATCCTCCTTGTCCCCAGCAGGATCCCGGAGCAGGGCAGGTCCCGGTCATGCATTGATGGCGTTGGCCACGTCGGTGAACACGAGGCGGCTGGGTCTCTGCAGGGCTCCCTGACTCGGCAGCAGCACCTGCAGGGGAGCAGCAGAGCTGAGAGCCAGCACGGCTGCCCTGGCTCAGGGCTGCACCTTGGAACGGCACTGGCCCCTCCCAGGGGAGGCTGCCCGGCTAACAAGGCGTTAACAAGGCTGTGACAGGGAAATACAGCAGGCTGGAGACTTAGTCAGCACATCCACGCCAGTTTAAAATCCCCGCATCATTGGATTACTGGGTCTCACTATTTATATATACAAGGCAGCGTGAAAAGGCTTGAGATA